ACTATTGTTGATATGAACTACTTGGGGGACACTCCCCTCCTCCCCCTGCCCCTTTTGATCTTTCTTAACAGTTCCTACTCCCCTGCCCCTTAAATACCGTTGATTGGTTGCTTACACTTTGACTAACTCTACCCCTTTATATTATTGTACACGCCTGATGATGAATTAATCGAAAGCGTTCGTTCGCCTATCTTGACTGCCTGAATAAGTTACTTTATTTGCTTTTTGGTTAAATAGCTGTTGCACATTTGATGGTGTTTTTGGTTATTACGCGTCGTTTGCTCTTTGTAGTCATTTCGCAAATTGCTGTCGTTCTTTTCTTTCGTTGAGCTAGTGTTTATTTGGTTAATCTTAAAAGTTTTAAATATTTATCATTATTAAAACAGTTAAGTTTTTTTAAATTTTTTTAAAAACTAATTAATTTTTTTATCATAAATCGATGTCGTTTCTATTGCTTAAAGGATCTGCATGAGTTGTCCTGTTCCAGTGCTACTTAAACTGGAAGCTTTAACATGGGAGGCAAACTTCTTCTCTGTTTTGTTGCTTGTAATTGAGTTACCAATTTAATATATCGTATATACTAGAAATTTGTAATTTTTTAGCAGATAACATAATTGCTTTTTAAGTAATTAACCCAGTGACGAGTTAATTATTTAATTATAATTAAAGTCAGCGATTTTTATGACTAAGAATTCTAATCACATATAAGTGAGACGTATGGCATTTAGAACGTGTTACGTTTACGTGTCACTTTAAGGTTGCGGTTTGCATTACTCAAGTCTTCAGAATGCACATTTTTAGCCTACTGAAGTTGACCTAGGCCATTTCCCTAGTTCTTGTGTAGAAGGCTCCATAGGTCTGGTATTACCACTGTCAGGACAACGAAAAATAATGAAATAATTCATACATGCGTTTACATTTTTAAGTACAACCTTTTCTACTTGGGACTATATAAATACTCTCAAGAATAATTCATGGCGCTGGTGCCAAAAATTACATACCCAGCATGTTTGATGTTGTATTTTGTATTATTTTTATTCATTACCCTTCGTTAACAATTTATTGAGGTCGCCTATTAATATTTCATCATCAGGATGATTGGTACAGGCTGTCATGATAGTAGTTGAGTTCTATTTTATTTTCGTTTTCAATAAATAAATCCAATTCCCATTGTCCACTACTTTTCTGTTATTAGCTTTATCACTTGTGTCTTGCAGGTCAAATCATGACTGTGCGCTCAGTCGCCTCCGTTGAACTGCCACATTATGAAAAGCATCCAAATTTCTACAAAAGATTCAATTATCTTCGTGCAAAACGGTCGCACTATCGACTTTATGGATTGGCACTCCTCCTACTCTTTTATTTCGCAAAACTATTGATAATATATACTGCGAAGGATGTATGGCCTGAAACTGGCGTTAAGTTATCCGGTACGTTATCTGCTACAATTATATTTTTTTCCAGACGACAAGGGTCCTGCTGTTTCAGGACGACATCTTCTTGGAATAAACCCAGTCGTTAAACCTCTTACAGAATTCAATTGCACACCTTTGGCAATAGAAAATTTCCCCAGAGATTATTTTACACAGAAGCAACGCCGCTCAGGGGCAGTAATAATTCACATCCTGGCATCCGCTTACATGTTTTTGGCTCTGGCCATTGTTTGTGATGAATATTTTATTCCTTGCCTGGAAATAATAAGCCAAGGTAGGTCTATAGGGTTTATTAATAAACTTTCTTTCTAGTCTTAAGGCTGCAACCCGACGTTGCCGGTGCCACCTTTATGGCCGCAGGAAGTTCTGCCCCTGAGTTGGCCACAACTCTTGTGGGTGTTTTCATTGCCCGGGTACGTAAAGCTGATAATCCGCAGTTTTCTTTCCGAGTTTCACCTGGCTATTCTCTCCAGTGCGATGTTGAATCACATCTTATTTGCAGCCATGTCATAGTTATTGCTTATAAGTAATAGTATATAATGACCTTGAGTAGATTCAGGTTTTCCAGGTAAACATCGCCATGTTATTATCTGTTGAAACCATTCCGAGACGCTGATTGCAATCACAACAGACCCGTAAAATGAATGCGTTGTTCCTCATTTGATGGGCTGTCAACCTAAAAACTACAGAAAACTACTTTCCTAGATAACACTTGCTTGACTAAAAAGTTGTACCCAGAATACAACGAATAGGCTTGCCAATGGCCGTCAGCCCCATGACGATTTTTGGAATGCAATATGACATGTGCAGTGAAACATGGACGAACAAAGTTGGTTCCAGACAGGTTTCGGCAAACTATTGAGAGTTTGAGCGAGTTGTTCTTTGCTGGAGTTTTTTCTCCATAGCAAAATCTTGCTGCCATAGCAGCGTCTCCGCTAGTGTCAAATGAGCTCTGTTCGTATTTAATGTTAGTGTGATAAATTTACTAGCCTTAAAGCGATAAATATCTGCTCTAGTCTTCCGGTGTCTTGTATCTTCCTAGGTTATGGCTTCAATTTCCGAAAGAGATCACCATGCTTGTGAACTCTTCGCATCAGCCTTCCGGCACTCGGAAGGAGCTAATGTTTTTCGAAGTTTTTCTGCATCCTTCTGCCGTGTTAGCTAGACAAAATCCAATACTGTGAAGACTTTTGGTTGTTCGATTAAAAAATGGTCTAGTAAAGAAAACAAACGTACATTGATAAAGCAGTTTGTCCTTTACTCCTGATAGAGGCGCCAGCTCCTTTTAAAATGCCTTTTTCGCCGAATGCGGACTACGGCATCGAATTTTTTGGATCAAGCTTCTTTTTGCATCAGAAGGCTTTGACCATTCCACCACAAACCGTGTTTCTGAAACGAATTCACTAAGTTTTCCTTAATAGGTATACCTACATCAAGTGGTCAACCATTTAAGTGAATTCCCTTCTTTATCGAAGAGGAAAATTCTTCAGAAATGTGTATGGTCTCTTTATTATAGTTGCCTAGAAGTGGCAGTTGGACTCATCATTCGTAATGCACTTGGAACTGTTTATTAATTGAAAAGAATCAACCTTTTCCATTCCTAGGATCAACAGTTTTAATATGTGGGCAATATTTAATATAAATAAGTATTTTTAGTAGCTTTGATCTTCGTCAACGCCTGCAAACATTTAATCAGTTAGTACAATATAATTATTCAATTACAATTTCAGACAATAGGCAAAGGACGGGATTTTAGTAAAAAGTACTGCGTTCTGTCGTAAGGTTCACCATTAAAATCTCAGTCTTATAAAAAATACACAACGGAAAAATCAGCCTGCTATAACCCCACTTCTTTATTTTGATCGGCAATTTTTTACCTGGAAACTCTGACAATGCGCGAAGCTCAATGCTGTTATACGAATTTGAGTAATTCCACAGTAATGCGATCTTTGTAGACTTCGAGGCCACCGAGTGTTTTTTAAGTTGAGTCGAATCAATTATTCCAGCCGACTAACACACTTATTAAGTAAGTTTGACAGTAATCTGGTGGATTCGAAATAAATTGACTGGGAAACCATACTTAGACAGCCAGCTTACCGTATCAGAATTGGATGGGCGGGTAAGCTCACTGAAGTGTGGTTTAAC